TTAGGTTAGGTTAGGTTGTTGTACGTTTGCTATTAATTTTTAATCGTTGTATTTACCTATATATTATTAATTATGATAATAGATAAAAATAAAAAAAATATTTTTTAAAGTGTACCACACTTATAAATTTCCCTCTTGAAACACTAATAATTATTATAAAATATACATATGCTTAGTTGTAAAATAAAATTAGGTTGATTTGTAAAAAACTAAACGAGTACAACTTTTTAAAGTTAAAACACTTGTGTGTGTGGTGTGTAGTAACCAGCAGTCTGTCTGTCTGTAATAATCATCGGATAATTATTTACCACAGCTTTGCCGTTTGAGCCAACTCCGAACGCGTCACATAATATTAATATATACAATTTAATTTAGTATATTTTAATAAATTATATACAATATATACTAATATATTATAGTTTTTATTATTATTACAATTTACCCTTCGCCGCCAACACCACCCGACCGACCGTGCACGTTTGTGATCTTTGCACATATACCTCGGACATAACTTCCTTGTACCTATGCGTATAAATTATATAATAACTATATAAATTATTTATAATTTTTTTTTCTTACATTATACACGCGTTATTTATTTAAAAACGTTTTACTTAGAGCTGTACACGTGTATAAAAAATAGCTAAAAAACAATGACGTCTCGCCCGACGCTCTTCGTTGCAATATATAAGTCTCAAGGAGAAGAGGTTTTTTATTTGTTGTATAATTAATTGTATATAATAATACATACTGTATTGTCCCTGCTTGGATACAAAATAATCTTTCAGGTTAGGAGTAGTGGTTTTGGTAATAACTTAAATAATAAAAAATTTGGATTTTTTAATAGTATAAAAAAAAAATAATAAACGAAAAGTGGGGAAAAAATTGCTCAGATTTATTTGGTTTTGTTTTGATTACTGGCAGTAATATTGTTTTGTCACGTTTTTACCATCATTTTGCACCGTTTTTTTAAACTATACCTAAAATTATTGAAAAAAAAATGCATACACCAGTGCATGATGGTTTTGGATTAATCAGCACTTAACGTTGAAAATATATGAATGAAATAAAAAATATATCTTTCGGTTTTGATTTCGACAAACAATAAATAATGTTTTCGGTTTCTTTATAGAATAATAAATTTGTAATTGTTTTTTTTTATTATTGTTTGGGTTTACATTCATTTTCAATACCGTCTACGAAATTCTGGGTTACGTTTTTCCTTCTTTTTTTTGTCTACACATCCTATTTAAACTTTTAATTTTTGTTTATGATTCGATGAATATAATTTCTTTTGTAATAATTACACCTTTTATCGGTGATTTTTTTTTTGTCGCTTTGTTTTTTAATTTGATTTATTTAAATTCACTCGACTTGTTTAGGTTAGGTTACCTTGCCTTACCTAATCTTACATGAATCGATTATTTATGAAGTCCAAGAATTAAAAAATAACTGTTTTTCACATACAATTTGTCTTGAAATAAACATTTTTTTCATTCTCTTGCACACTATAATACTTATTTAAATTTGTGAATATCAATTGATCAAATTTATTTTTTAACCAACGGTAAGAGTTTTAACTGACCCTTTCCACAAACAAGTGAGTCACTTTTAAAATGTTTTCATAAATAAACCATACTAAATCATAAACGGGATTGTGCACAATAGAGTGATGTAAACCAAAACTACTTAACCAAACGTTCATTGCTAATATATAAAACCTTTAATAGAAACTTTTTGCATGACTTAAAAATCGCCATAAAAAAATAATTCTAGTAAAAAAAAAAAGAATTAAATATTTATTTAGATAAATAATTATCTAAATAATGCCCAACCTTACTTTCAAAAATAAAAACGAATCCGTCTATCGAGCCAAAAAACATATTGCATTTATAAAAAAAAAAAAGTAATTTTCAACAAAAATTGTGACTTATCACGTTTCATAAATAAAAAATTCACTCAATACAGGTTTAGTAATTTTTTTAATGTATTCACTAGCTTTTTTTTAACGTTGTCAATGTTTTAAGGTGTGTTTTTGGCGCACGTTATCGGTTGGCCAAGTGAATCAAAAGCCAAAATAAAAAATATTATTATTCGACGGTTTTGCACTGTCACAAAAAAATATCTGTTAGTGCTCGGCAACGGTTATTGTTTTTTTCATGTTTGTTATAATATAATTAACGTTTTTTTAAAAACTATTTAACGCGTTTAATTTATAGTTTATTGCATTTTACGGTGCATGAAAATTTAATAACATGTGTGTGTGTGTGTGCCATCGTACGATCCGGTGCATATCATATTATTATTATTATTATAGTAATTAATGTTATTTAAAACCTTCGAGCAGGGGCTTAGATTACGTTGGCGTTTTTAATTTGAGTTCTTTTTTTTTTTTAATTATTTAATCATTATCGTTATTGTTATTGCAGTTAAAAGCGCAAACCGTGCACATATTTCGGCGACTGGTTTTTTTTTTTTTGAACGATTAATCATTGACCCAGATATGTTTTTTTTTCAAAACTACATACTGTATTATCATCTGACGAAAAAAAAAATCAACTAAAACTAAAACAGCAGTCGAGCCAAAATTAAGCAATTATAAAGTGTCAACGTTGTTGTTGTTGTAGATCAGGTTTTGTTTTTACCATCTCAATCCAAAACTGTCAATAATCTTATTTTGTCCAAATCTAGACTCGACCGGTAAGAGTGTATTTCATTTTTTACCTAAATAAATAATATAGAATAGTTAAAAAACAAAATAAAACAAGAAGTACCCATTTAAGACTATTTTATACAAATAAGAAATCATTTTACAGGTATTGTAAATTTACAAACGATCTAGCCGTTTGCATATTATGTTTATTGTGTTGTTTATTCAAATAGAACTAGAAAAGAGCCAAAATAAAATGTGTACACACAATCAATAGCAACGTCTATAAATGATATTACACAAAAGTGTAACTCGAACAGCTAATCAAAACCTCTTAAGGGGCAGGGTGGTTGAAACTTCTCTCCTAAATATACCTAACCCACAGTAAACTTTCACGCCGCGTTCGTTAAGTATGATAATTTTTTTTCGGTTTTCTGGTCGTTTACAGAATTTTTTCCCATCGCCGACCGTAACCGGTTTATTTATTTATTTTTTTCTTTTGGTCGGTCGTCACACCGTTGAGGTTTTTTTTATGTGTGTCTGTGATGAGCGAGAAGGTTGTTCGGTTATGTGTGTTTTGATAATTGCCGCACACGAGTAACGGGGTAATTGCAACAGAAAAAAAAACCGTTAACAGTATAATTAATACCCATCTCTCTCTCTCAGACAAGAGGCCGATAAACGCTAAGAAAACGAACATATCCGAGACGCGTTTATTTTTCATATTTTTTTTTTTAATTGGTCGACAGTTAAGTTCATATGCGGTATTTAAAACAAATAAATTATATAATCATGCTAGTACAGGATGGTCGGAACTAGATAAAGTCGTTAGTGTGTTTTAATTTAATACCCGTCGATTAATTATTATTATTACTGGCGGCTAGCGTTCGTTTAACAAGCCCATAATATTATTATATATTATTATTATTATTACTATTTTTAAAAAACGGCTCCAATCCTCCTCTAATCGGTGTCCGAATGCGCCACCACCCGTCGGGTGCGGTTGGGAAACGTCTTATTGCCAGTTAAACGTCTTATATTTTGTGTGCATTTCCAATATTACCATGTTGAAAAATACATATATTATGCCAGCCAATACGGATGTACGCCATATATCGATTACACGACCCGCACACTGTCTATATATTTTGCGAACGACACTCGAGGCTTATCTGCGGTGCCAGTTTAATCGAGTGCTCTGCTGAAAACCGTTTAGCTTCGAGTCCAGTGTATTATATATACAGAGCACAGAGAAATAGAAAATTTAAGAAAAAAGGGACCGGCACTATTTCCATTCATATTCACCTTTGGACATAATCTAAATCTTTTCCAGAAAGGTTCTCTCTAACTTCTACTACATCAATCCTGACTTGCCTGTATTATACCCGTTTATCAGTGAATTCGAAACACAACCTAATATAAAATTAAAAAAAAAAAAAATACTCCCTTAACGCTTCTAACCGTTTGAACAATGCCTAATCAAGGTTATGTTGGGTTTGGTTATATGCGACTAGGTTTTGGTGAGATTGACTGGGTTAGGTTAGGTTTGAATGGGTTCGATTAAACTCGTTTATGTTATGTTAGGTCAGGTTGTCAAAGCGGTTCCCATTCGGTTTCCGTAAATTAAAAAAATATTAGATTAGGTGAAATTTAATTAGGTTTGGTCAGGTTAGTTTAGATTTGGCTATAAAAAAAAAAATATTAAAAAAGTTAATATTTAGTTAGATTCGGTTACATTTGTTTAGATAAGGTTTAATTTGATTAGATATGGTTAGGATTTGTTAAATTTTATTAGGTTTGGCTAGGTTTAGCTAAATTTGGTCATTTAGTTAGACTCGATTGAATTTGATCAGTTTAGTCAGGTTCACCATACTCGTAACTCTGGTAATATCAAATGACGGTAATACCTGACCTGACCTAACCTAACCTGACGGGGTCGGATTATAATATTTTATCGGGTCGATGTTCTCATCGGTTGTGTTCCTTTTATCGTGGACATGTTTAACATTTAACAGGACTTTCAGCTGTTAGAATTAAGAGATAAAAGATAGAGAAGATAAGAGATTAGACATTAGTGGTTGGCTACAAGAGATTAGAGACTATACGAGGCGAACGCAGTGAGAGGTGTTAGCAAGATGAATGTACAGGGAAAAAGAGAAAGAGGAAGACCAATGAAAATATGGACGGACGGAATAGAGAGTGATAATAATATGTAGAAGACCGAACTCGATGGAGGTGTAGGACTAGGGTGGCCGAGATATGGTACCTAGTCTAAATTGTTTTTTTTTATTATTGCAAGTTGAATTCGCTAATTGGTATGGTTTTTTTTTTTTTGTTGTTGTTAACTCAGGTACAGCGCACGCAGTTGGGCAGCGGATACAACAACACCGGTGGTAGCCAGGGCTTGAACAATTCGAGCTTTGGCGGCAAGTCGGGAGCGATACCAGGCCATCACGGTGGCCCGCCCGGTATGACCGGCAACTATGCTAGTGGAGCCCCTACACAGTATCATCACAGAGCTACATCCGGCTGGAACTCGGCCCCTTTGCCCGCACAACAGTACCGATACGGATCCGGTCCAGTCGCTCAGACCACCATGTCGCCGTACACTTCTTACAACCCGAACCCGACTACCGTGAGTAAAACTTTAATCGCGATTCTAGTTGTTGTAAGATTGGCTTAAGGATTCTGTCGGACTCGTTTCCGTCAACTGTCGTCCGACGAGTGTACTGTTATTATCAGTTTGCGGTGTTTTCTATACTGCACACCTGACCACCACCAGCCTAGACCCCGAAAATCCACGTCCGCCTTAAGGTCGGTCAGGGTTACACACACACACCGGTGTCGTGTCCGACCGGTTCGTTTTGCATTAACACCACGAACACCGTTCCTGGTTGTTCTTGTTTTTATTATTATTTAATTATTATTTTACATATAGCATTCCTCCTATACATATGTATGCCCAGCCCAAACGGTTATTAACCTATAATAATAATAATAATAATTCTCTTGGTTTTGTCATCCGTTATCCTAGGCGATTGGGACTTGGACAAGTCTTAACCGTTTGCCCAAACAAAGAACCCGGATGGAAGAAAAAACCCCACCTAAACAATAATATTGTTAGGTTAGGTTAGGTTTGAAGTATTAAATATAGTATTGTATGTTTTAACAGTATACAAATGTGTAGTACATTATTTAATTACTAAAGGGCAACTAAAAACAAAACGAATATGATGATAGTTCACGCTGTTATATTAACTTTATAGATGTTTTTTTTTCCATCGATATTGATTTAATTTCCAGTGAATGTATTTCTTGTAAAATAAGCTGGCTTTATACTACTTTTGTATGCTTAAAAAGTAATCGTTTATATTTTATTCTATCACAGTATGCTTCAAATACTGCCCACCCCTGTTTGACCTGGCCTAGGTTAACCCAATTCGGTCGGCTTAGGTTTAGTTCATCAGTTGGATACAAATATTCTGTTTTTTTTTTTTTTTAATGTTTAATATATTTTTAAATAAAATAATATGCAACCGAGTTTGTTCTGTTCCGACCGAACTGCAATTATTGTTATTATTTTTAGATAAGGTGGCAGGTGCAATACTTGTGCAACTATAATAGGTACACGTGTTGTCATCGTTCTCTTATCTTTTTATGCATATTCTGTTTTATCCGTCTATTTGCATTGTCGTTGCCGATATTGTTTTCTCAGACAACCTATAACCGTCGTCGATTACTTGAACTTGAAATTTAGAATTGTTTTTTTTTTTTGCAATTGTTCGGTTTTCGAGTACACACCGATAAGACCGCAGAGACGAGTGTTCGGCCTTATGTGTTGCTTTTTTATATTTTATTCTATTCTATTCTATTTTTTTTGCCATTCGCATTTATCTCTTGTCGACAAACATCCGCTGCTGTTTTATATGTGCCATACATATGCACGTGACCTCGCAACCGTCCGTGGTGTATGCAATGCAAGCGTGGCAGCTTAGTGCAATATACAATAATAATAATAATAATAATATGATAATAATTTATTGTACACTCACTGTTCGTGCGAGAGATGGTATTGAGAAAAGAGAGCGATGCGGTTCGCAAAGTCGTCCGGAAAGCAAAGTGTCTCCTTTATAATATTATAATAATAATATATATGTATACCGTTGTTTTTTAATATTAAAAAAATGTATTATATACAGGGCGATTCGCGCGGGGTAACGCTTTTTTGATTCGGCCACAATCTTCTAAAATCGGTCACAGTCGAGCCAACATGATTGTTTCGAATAAATAATCGGTGTTGCCAACCGTTAAACATTTGCCTGTGTCAGGAGGAGGTCTCGATATGAACGTGCGGAAATTTTACTTCCGTTCAGAAGAATTTGCCGAGCGAATCACCCTGTGTACAAAGACATTATATATCTTTATACTTAAAATAAAGAAACGGCCGAAAGGGAGACCCATTAAACGAGCGGTGCGGATTCCTTTAAGATGGCGAAAATAAATAAACAATAAACGAGTTCTGCATAATATTGCCGTTAGCCCGTTATACTTAACCGCTCCCCCTTTGTCATTGTTCTATTTTACTTTTTTTTTTTTTATTGTATTTTTATTACTTTTGTGTGCGTTATCGATCCGTCGACGGTTTGCTGCATTATTGAGCGTTCTTCTTTTTAAACTTAACAACAACGCCAATAGTACACAGAAACTGTGATGGACATTGTAAGAACCCGACCACGTTTGCTTTCGGGGCCATTAGCGAACGCTCTGCTCGTCTCTGGACCGATGACAAGATAATATGAAATAAGATTATTCGTTTCGATGCAATCGTTCGTCGTTTTTTTCCTGTTGTCTTATAATAGTAATGTGTGTGTGTGTGTGTGCTTTTGCTTCAACCGTGACACGAATTAAACCCGGCAATCCGCCAAAGCCTTTGTCCGACGAAACGGGTGGCCTTGAGCTTTTTTTTTTCCTTCATCCGTTACTTTGTCTCTGTCTCTCTCTATCTTAAGTGCACACGAGAACACTGTCGAATCGTACACTTCAATATGCGTGGTTCCACACAACGCCACCGGTGTTTTTTTTTTTTTGCTGCCCACTCCTCTGGTAAATAATATAATACATTACATCTTATTATGATAATAATACAATTAATAGTCGTCGTCGTACCCGCTCTCCCGCCGACGATCGCCCACGTTGTCCAGGGTCAAGGTCGCCGGATGATTTTTCTTTGCAAAAAAATTCTTGCCCTAGCCCAACGGGGGAAAGGTCGTCGACTCCTTATGATACAGGTCACAAGGCAATTTTTTTTTTTTTTGTCTTCGACAGTCGTCGTCGTCGTTAGCTTTATTGTTATTGCCGGTCTGTGGGCTCGAATATAATTTTTCTGACCTTCGGATCCAATGTTAAAAAATAAACCTGTTAAGTGGGACGTGCCGAGATTCGCGCAAACCTTCCAGGAGTCTATATATGAGCCGGTATACCTACTTTCTCCGTGTGTGTGTGTGTGTCTTCTTAAACCAGTCGTTTTGGCCGCAAGAAGAAAATATTTTGCGCGGTCACAGAACATGAATATTTACTCGTGTGGCGAAAAATAAAAACCTATATCGTCGGGTACTTGGTAACATACTTACTTGCACGGGCACTACCGCGTTTTAGGAATGGTTGGGTTAGGTCAAGTTGGTCGGATAAGGTAGGGTTAGGTTATGCGGTTTATAACCTGTTGTAAACTACCATCATAGGTATTAGTTTTCTTTTTAGTTGCCTAAAATCTCTACTACTAATGTTCAAACTGTTAGAACACACTAGGTCCTCCGTCCGTAGCGTAATTATTATAGGTCAGGTGTGTGCTTGTATATTATAAATACCTATAGTATTAGCGTAAGCCTATTAAGATTGGCACGATAATGTATTTTAGCTTATTTCATTCAAGCCGTACGACTTTTACTTTTGACAAGCTAAGTAGTCATTTATTATGGCGCATACTACGTGATTAGGTTGTGCATAGGTGTTATTGTGGACTTGTTGAGAAAAAAAAAATGCGTCGTTATATGCAGGAAAGGCGTTACAACGCGATTATCATATTATTATTATTATTATAATGTCCGGGACATGCCCGGCTGTGTGCTTAGAGGGCGTTTTCCCTGGCAATGGTAAATAGTGTCGTTGTGTAATATGTGTGCGCTTACAGTGCCGAGGTGGCTGTCGTGTATGCATATTTCTTATCCCGGGTCGGTTTAGAGCGGTATAATTCCTATGCACTAGTCGTTTCCTCCGGTGCCTTCTTTCCTGTAATAATTTATGTGTGCGCGTGTGCGCTAGCTTGTCTTGTTTTGTTGTACACAAAAACGGCATTTAATCTCTACCGTCTCGGCACCGGAACGCGCATAATATTTCCCGATTAGGGTGGTTTTTCTGTTGTAAGAAGACTCCTCCTCGCCCATTGTGCGGAGTCGGTGGACGTCGAGAAGCGTCTTCGGCTCTCCTACAGATAAATGTCTGGGCAAGAAAGGAAACGAGCGGATTAACGAAATCATTTCTGGTTTATCCACTGCGAACCGGCGCAGACCGCGTCTTAAGTCCGCGTTTATTAGTTTATATTTTTTATTAGGAGCTTCTCGTTTGACGTGCCTTCCAATAATGTGTAGTCGGAATTCAATGTAGTTTAAACCGTTGAAGGTAAAGTTAGGTTAGGTTTGGTTTGGTTTGGTTAGGTTTGGTTTGGTTAGGTTTGGTTAGGTATGGTTAGGTTAGGTTAGGTATGGTTAGGTGTGGTTAGGTTAGGTTGGGTTAGGTTAGTTTGTGAATTTTGTGTAAAATACAATTGCGTAGTTCGGTAGTTCTACGTAATGTTCGGGAATTTTACGTAAAGTTTGTGAATTCTACGTTAATTTCGTAAATTCTACGTAAATTTCGTGAATTCTACGTTAATTTCCGGTATTCTACGTTAATTTACGGTATTCTACGTTAAATTAACGAGTATCGTGGGAATTTCATCGAATTTTGTATTTTTAACATTCGAATAGCAGCTCTAATAACATTTTTTCCAAGACATTTTTTGTAGTAGTATGAGAAGTATGAGGATTCGGTTTTCTCCGTTGCACGCTCTCCGGTTTTCTTGGCGCGCGTTACTTGGCCGCCGTCGGTGTGCACGGGAAAACTTTATTAATTTCCGGCGGTTTTAATTTAAAAAAAACATACACACATAAGCCCGTCGCCGAAGGTGTGGCGCGAGAAAGTTTCGATTAAAGTATCGAAGTAAAATTGTTGTCTTCGAATTTCTAACACGTTGTCGTTGCAACGGTCGTCGTCTTCGTCGTGGTTTGTTATTTCATTGTTTTATTTTGGTACGAACCATACACGAAGACGGACGGCGGAAGAAGTTTTTCTAATTAAAAACAAAAACAAAACATATTATAATTTAAATAGATTTTTTGCGCGTTTAATATTTAGCGCGAGACTAGCTTAGTAATAATACTGCAACGTGTGTGTGTGTATAGCTTCGCTTAGCTGGTTCAGTCGATGCACATGTTAAGCGCAAAAACGTTGGACTTAAGATACGGTTTGAAAACAAACAAAACATGTAAAGTTAGTTTGTGTCGCTCGATAATAATTTTATACCGCGCCCCCGCCATCTTG